TACCAAAATTTGGATGATTTTGAATATTCACTTGAAAAGTTATCAAAGAAAAACATTTTTCATTTTGTAACTTCGAGGGCCCGTTACTTGGTAACGAAGGATTTTAGGAAAGAAAGTTATATGAAGTACTGGTGATATTTTGACCCCATCTATACATTCCCGAGAGGAAAAGAGGAAGTTCAGGGACACCCTGTATATTACACGTTCAAAGATCTCAGAAGTTGACGGAAGAAGTGATATTGGCCTATAATTATTTATTTCATTTCTGAAAACAGGCACAACTTGCAGTTTTTAAGTTATCAGGGAAAACTTCTAATGACAAGCTCTCATTGATAACATTTACTAAAGGATCACATATATACTTTGCAATTTGTTTGAGAATAACAGGTGGTATTCCATCTATACCACATGAATATTTAGGCTGCATTTCATTTATTATGTTGAAGATTTCTATTCGGCTAACTGGTTTGAGGAACATTGTCGTGAAGAACATTCTGTATATTTCCACATTGGGTGTAAAAATTATTAAAAGTGTTAGTAGCTAATCCAAAAGGATTTGTTATAGTCTGTCCCTTGGAATCTTTGAGGGCTATGGATTTATCTTTCAATATGGTTTTATTTTTGGCTTGATTAAATATATTCCAAATGGTCTTGGATTTATTTTTTAAAGTTGAGATTCTGCTGTCATTTATTGCCTTTTTGTAATCTGATAAATATTTCCTGTATGCCTTTCTTTCTTGCTTATATGTAGTGAGTATATCTTCACATTTTGTGTCTTTGTAAATCCTGTGTAAGTCACCAATATATTAGGAATCATTTTTTATGTCAAACGTGACCCAATTTGTTTCATAAGTTTTGACTTTGACTTTATTTTCCGGAAATGCAAGGCCGAAATGATGGAACAATATGTCATGAAAATTTCTATATTTACCATTTACATCAAGCAAGTTGAATACCATATCCTAGTTTTCTGAAAGTAAAGAATTTTGAAACTGTTCTATATTACTTTTGTTGAAAAATCATTTTTTCATAAAATATTAGAATACTAAAAGTTACAGCTTCAAATGAATATATAAAACATCATTCCTAAATATTATTTGAGGTTTTCCTGCCTATTTGAAAAATGTTTTCCTTCCACAGATGAAAGAAATAAAATATATCATGACGACAATGACAGAAAACTCGCTCATTGTAATTGATGAATTAGGAAGGTCCACATCTTTAGAAGAAGGTACTGCCCTCGCTATAGCTACCCTTGAGAACTTGGCAAACTCATCTGCTTATATCTATATCACCAGCCATTTCACATTGCTGGCAAAGCTGCATGATATTTACCCCAATATTAAATTGTAAGTAGATGTTGTTGATGGAAATAATTATATATAGTTTTCACAGATGAATTGTGGAAAAAATTTATGAAGGTTAACTTTATCAAATGTACAAGGCTTATTTCACTGTAAGTCCAACAAATTGAGCATATTGCTTGATGGACGATTGTAACTTGACCAAACAAAAAATAAAATCTAAAATGAAAGACAATGAATTATTAACTTGAATCTCCATGGAAAAAACAGTGTCGATGTAAAGTAGGTATAATATTATCACAGTATTTATTGAATAAATAGAATACAATATCAACTGACCAAATTTGCAATTCGGAAACGATCCTACAGAAATTCAACATGAGTAACTCAATATTATGTGAAATAGTTCACTTCACAAATAAAGAATCGTCATTGTTGGCCCTTACATGATGATGCAAAACTGCCACATTTGCACAATGAGCACGAAGTTAATCGGATGTATCACAAAATTGATATATCTGGCACGGCATGCGCCTCTCTGACTGTGTTTTATTTTGCATGACGAGCGTCGCGCAGACTTATGCGTCTGTTGGACAAATACCTTGAAATTTCAGTTTTAAATAATGGTTTACTGCCCTGCTAATCAAGAAGGTCGTATCTACATTTTGTGGAAAACCATCTTGAATAAGTTTAAAATATTTGCACCATTTTGCATCTTGATTCTGAAAATAATATTTGTATAATAATGAGTGATCGAGATATTAAGGTAATGTAATTACCAAATCGCTTCAACTGTTACTTCAAAGGAAAAAATGTTACATTCGTAGAAATAAGCTATGCTTCAGAACATGAAAAAAATATATTTGATTTTCTTGATTAGCATGGCAGTTAAGGCGGCTCATTGTTGTTAACAAAATGATCGTTTGGCGCGCAATGAACACGTAAGGTAAAGTAACCATTAACTGACACAATCATTACAATGATTGTTTTTCATTCATAATTTTTTCTTGCTTCGAATCGCAACATATTCAAACTAATATGTGAATGCTTTAGTTATCGGAATAACTAGCTAGGGTTCCATCAAAAAATGTATGCTCAATTAGGGTTCCATTGCCGAATACAATTGGGAACCGCTGCCTTAGTCTACCGCACTCGCGTGATGGGTATAGAGGTTCCTGACACAAGGCGCAGGGCCTGCCGCGAGGTGCCCGAGATCCTAATGCATTTGCTACCAGCATGTCCAGCATATGTGGTCTCGGCCTATATCCATCGACATAACGTGGCACTCTTACGGTATTGACACGACACCGGTGTTGCCCTACGTTCGGGGGATATTGGATTCGTTGTGGGGAACGAGAAGTGCCGAATTCATTGGAACTATTCGTTCCCCACCCTCAGGCTCATACAAGCTAATAAGCCTGATGTAGCCCTTCTCGACCACCAGAGCAAGACGATATTTGTCGTGAAGTTTTCAGCTCCTCTAGACGAATATCGTCCGAAAAGAGGAGGAGAAACGGATAAAATATCGAGATTTTCTCTTGGAACTCCGCAGACTCTATCCAGACCACTTTGTCAAGATGGTTGTTTTGATTATGGGAGTCCTTGGTTGAATGATGCCCTTTCTACTCTCGAATCTTAAAATCATACCAGCCTGCCGCACTAAGGCAGAAATCTTAGCCAGACAGATGCAGAAGGCTGTCATTCTTGGCTCACTGCGCTTGCTCAGGGCACATGATTCTCGAACCCAATGATCACTTACCTACCCCACGGTGTGGGGTTGATAATGCTGGCGCGCCCTCCCGAATGTATCGGGGCTTCGGGGGATAGGGCCTGACCAGCGCACACTACGGGCACATGATTCTCTTACCCAATGATCACTTACCCCACGGTGTAGAGAGTGGCCGTTGACCTTGAGTTGGGTGTTCCAAAAGGTTCCGATCGGATCCTGAAATTGTCAGAATGAAGCGCTATAAGAAATTATGTGGTATTTTGAGCTGGAACTCTTGCAGTATTACTACTACAATCGAAACAACGTCTAAAACGGTGACAATGGTGCTTGAAACTATCAAAACAACGCTTGAAACGGTCGAAACAACGCTTGAAATGGGCGAAATGGCGCTTGAAACTTCCGAAACGTCTGAAATGGCTGTTTTTCTGTTATGTTCTGAATATTTATACTTCATACTCAATGACTGTTATGGCAAAGTTGCGAAGGGGTTACATTTCTTCATAGGAAAGAGAGTATATATCTGTAGCTGGAGATTGGATGTTGCTGGGGTTTTACTTTACTTATAGTCACCTGGGCTTAGTTGTAGATACTTTGTGAGTGTTGAATAATGTCCAGAATGAGCCTAAAGTACAACCACTAAAGTAAATATTGACCACTGTGTGGTGCTTTGTGTCTCCCCTCCCGTATAACCTCGTTGCTGTCTTGTATTTTTTCAATTATTTTCAACTTTGTACCACATTGCAACTTACATTTCCTTGCCTCGCTGTTTAATATATTTGCATCACCCTGTATATGTTCCGTATTTCTCAACAATTCTCGTTCATATTGTCACCCTGTATAACGTTATCTTTCAGTTATTTTCAACTTTGTTTCGCATTTAGTAACCTGTATTTTGCTGACCTATATTTGCATCACACTTTATATGTCTGTATTTTTCTTTTAATTATTTATTCGAACGAACTCAAAAATCAATAACTTTGAGAATAATTAAGTCAAAATCTCATAATTCATATTCAATGGAACGAAATAAAATCGAATCGCAATAACTTTGTAATTTATATAACAAATGTCACAAATGTGTAACTGAATGAGTGTAAAACATTTAAGGAGGTGATTCCTCATCGAAAAAAAGATAGGATCTTTCATATAAAGAAACTTCATTGGAGCATCCCTTGTTAAGATACAACCCCTTAAAGGGGGTACATAAAATTTGTATAACAATTTTTTTCACAAGCACTGAAAAAGTTACAATATTTAAATTACCCTGACGTTTTGTACTACCAAAAAGACACCTTGCCAGTAATTTATTCGGTTTACCCCATGGTTGTAAGGGGTGGAAATCGCAACCCCTAAAATTTATTTCCAATGTAAATTTTTGTCTTACTATTTGTTTACCATTTAAAAATTTATTTCTGATAGCCTGTTTCAGTCTAAACAAAAAATGTCTCTTGGGTTTTTTGACCAAAATAAACCAGTTTGCAGCAAAAAATTATTTTACGAACAACTACAGAGATATATAGTCATAAATGCGAACTGGATTTATTCTTATTTTGTAGTTAGTACCTGCATTAAACGAATAAAGGGTAATAAACAGAACTAATTTATTAATAACAAAACACACAACATGTAGAAATCATAGTAAATATTCAATATGTCTACCTTCAGAGATTACGCATGCGTCTAGACGTCGGCGCATTGAGCCACGTATTTGCTCAAATATTCCTGGAGTTTCTCTGATTACCCTGCACGCATAGATGATGCGGTTTCTTAAGTTCTCTAAATCGCGAACAGGAGTACGAACCAATTCAAAACCAAAGAAATCGAGAGGATTGAGATCCGGGGATCGAGCTGGCCAGTTCTGTGGTTCTTCTCGACCTATCCACTGATTGGCATATGTTTCAGTTAAATGCTGACGTGCTACTTGACCAAAATCGGCAAAAGCCCCATCATGCATAAAAAACATATCCCTTCTGACGCCCAAAGGAATTTCCTCCAGCAGTACTGGATGCAAGGAGGTAGAAAATGAGGCCCAATTAAATGAGGCCCAATTAAATCATCCCCAATAACTCCGAGTCACACGTTAAGAAAAAACTGTTCATGATGATTAGTTTCGACAGATTAGTTTTTCATCAGCCCATATGTGGTAATTATGAAAATTAATAATCTTGTCCCGAGAAAAACTACATTCGTCTGTGAATTCTATCGTCTTCAGAAAGTCACAATTTCTTCTAATCATTTCCAGCATCCAATTGCAAAATTGGAGCAATTTTGCAATTGGATGCTGGAAATTCCAGCAATCTTTCTAGTACTAGTAGTAGGTTGTTCTTCAATCAAATTAAGTACTGCTTCCTCAAGCTGTGGTGTTCGTACTTATCGATGGCGACCACAATCCTGCGTTCTTTTGTCGAATGAACCATATTCTCGTAATCGTTGATGAAGTCGAGCAAATATTCTATGTGAAGGATGCTGCCTTTGAGGATACATTTCCGCATATCTTCTAGAAGCTTCTAAGCCATTCCCCTGCGACAGACCGTAAACGTAATGCATATCAGCCATTTCCTCATTTGTGTATGCCATTTTAATAACAAGTGAATTATTAAAGTAACAAATTAAGAACAGAACAACAACACACAATTAGCATTAATTCAATTTCGAAAATTCACAAACTGACACGTCATACCAATCTAATTGTCACTATTGCTAATAGCGATCTACTAGATAGATTAGTTTCGTATTTTCGCATTTATGATGATGTATCTCTGTAGTTGTTCGTAAAATAATTTTTTGCTGCGAACTGGTTTATTTTGGGCAAAAAACCCAAGAAACATTTTTTGTTTAGAATGGAACAGGTTATCGGAAATATCAGTTATTGGAAATAAATTTTAAGGGTTGCGTTTTCCACCCCTTACAACCATGGGGTAAACCAAATAAATTTCTGGCTAAGTGTCTTTTCAATATTGTAACTTTTTTAGTGCTTGTGAAAAAAATGTTTATACAAATTTTATGTACCCCCTTTAAGGGGCTGTATCTTAACAAGAGATGCTCCAATGAAATTTCTTTATATGAAATCATGAGGAATCACATCTTTAAATAATGTTTTACACTTATTCAGTTACACCCTGTATAGTAAAGTTTATATAGTTATATATTTATTCAAATACAATTTTTCCCTGATTGATTAAATACGAGTAAATTTTAGGTGGCAGATGGAAACTATTTCTTTGGGTAGAAAGACAAATTCATTCAAATTGGAATACAAATATAGTGTTATACCTGGTGTCACGTCTGTAAGGCATTATGGTATATATCTTGTGAGAAATATATGGCCCAAGGATATTCTAAGTTTTGTAGATAATTTAATAGAGGAAATTTCAAAACAGGTAAATATTAGTGAAGTAATTTTTATTCTACAGTCATCACCCTAAGACGATTGTAGATACTAACAATCGAAACGTCGTGAACTAACGTGACTTGGAATCTCTCAACTTTTTATTTTTATTTTCTTTTTTCATTTCTTTATTTTTATTTATTTTTGTTCAATTGTTCTATTTAACTTGTATTTTATCTCACTATTATTTCATTTAAGGTTTTTTTGCTTAATATAATTGTTATTTTCATCTATTCATTTTTAATTCTTCTTTTTTAGTTGTTTCAGGGAATTCAAATCATTTTATATAGTAGACAATGGAAGTCCGAATTAGTGAAATTTTTATTCTACTATTTCATTATTTTCTCTTCCAGGAATTGACTTTCGTAACCATTGACCCAAAATCTCGATTAAAGTATGCCGTAGAATCAAAATTTCGCCAACTCAAATTAGAAGGAAAGTTTTCTACCAACAAAATTAATAACATTTTGGAAAAATATCAACAGGACTTGAACGAACTTGGATATGCTGCAAAAGTTTATGACTCGAAAACTGACAGCCTCTCCCTGAACAACCTGACCTTGGATGATAATGATATACGTGGAGTAGAAGAAAGAATCAAAGTATTCACCCCTGAAGTTTTGATAAGCAATTCACGATTAACTCAAAATAAGAATGATCTTCTTGATAAAGTTCTTCCCGGGGTGTCAAGATATTCCTATCAAGATAATATATCTTTCAGTTCCCCGTCATTCGATCCACTCAATGAATCTTCTGAATTTATGACTTCAAATCCACCGGTTGACTTCCCGTTAAAATCAGTAGCTACTAATAGTATAATTCAAGAATCAGATCCATTAAATTTTTTTGCTGGATTGTCTTCGCTACCATCTAGTGATATTTCAACAAGGAAATCAACCCCAACTGCACAATATTTGACAGCAGTTTGTTGCTATTCACCGTCAAGCAGTAAATTTAGTAATTGTATCGAATATACAAGTGATGTAGATCTGACAAAGGTAAAATGTTCAAAAATCCCACTAAATCCCACTATCTATAAAGAAGGGAGTATTGTATCTATTCAAAATAGTCGGGATGAATTAAATGAAAATACAACAAATTTATGTAATCAAAGATATAGAGATTATGTTTCACCTATAATTGCAGTAGTGGAAGGAGTGAACGATACAACTGTATCTTGTAGAGAAGATGCAGAAGATGAGAATACTAAAATTAATATTATTGCTGACGTCACTATTAACAAAACATATGAAAAAGTACCAATGAAAGTGAAAGGAATCGATGATGGCCCTAGAAGTACTAGTTTGCAAAGTAACACAAATCAATCTGAAAGTAGTGAAAATAATTGCATATTTGACGTATGTTCACAAGATAATTCTAGTACCCAATGGTTAGCTTCTCCATTTAGCAAAAAAAATATTTCGGATGGTTGTAATAATTCACCATTATATTCAGATAAAAGCCACGACAATTATAATGCTGTAGGTGTTTCTGATGGATTTTACAAACTAAACAGGATTGTCAATAGTGAAGATGAATCTAACAAGTTTGCTTCAGATTCATTCCAATACACAGTGACACAAACGAGAGGAAATGATTGTGCTTCTGCTAATGAAGCATCTACTGTTGAGAATGATCCTGAAATTCAAACTGGTGACTTGGCCATGAACATGCCAATAGATTCATGTGGTAAAACAGTATCAGATGCATCAACGGTACAAAATGTCAATACTCATTTGGAGTCCTGCATTGAATCAAATGAAATTATTTCCGAAAAAGAAAACTCTTGTGTAACAAGTTTGTCGATTGCTTCAAAGAAACGAAATTTAGATCAGGCCTCATCCGAAACTGCCTATAAAACTACCGAAACTTCTGATGATAAAAAAAACAAGAAACCATTTATAGAAAAAGATCTGAGTGCCACACAGATTTCAATCGAAAACGATAATTTTAATAACATCTATCCTAGAACTCATGACTCAGTTTCTTGTAATATTCAGGAAAATTCAAAGATTGTATCGTTTGACTCAAACAATGAAGAAGAAAAGTCCGCCATATTTAACGAGTTCATTTTAAGAAGACCCTCGCCCCCTTCCTCTAGTATATTGAGTTCTACAAATAAAAGTGTAAACGAAACGTTCACTGGATCTATCACCAAACTAACTCCTAAAAATGAAAAGAAATCTATGATTTCCAAGAAAATCAAAAAGTCCAAAAGTAGATCTATTCTCCTGCAAAAACTAAGTGCGCGAGAAATAAGAAAAGAATTTAAAGAACAGGACCGAAAAATATTAGAGAGTAATCCACACACCCCTAATATTTCTAAATACTTGGAACAAATCATCAATAGACCAACAATAAAACAGATCCAAAATAGTACTCAGCTTGCATTAATCAGAAAACATAATAATGGTTTGGAGGTTATTCCGGCACATACTCAAATTAAAAGAAAGCCTAAATATTCCCCTTGCAAAAAATATCAGTCTAATGAGGATTTCAATGTGTCAATTTTCAGTGATCAGAATGGCAAACCATTTCAGGAGTATTTGAATTCAAATGAAAGAGATTACGAAACTTTCAGATCTAATAGAAATAAATCAATAGAAAGTGGTATTACAAATACAATGAGTTCAGAAACATACAGATTCGCTGTTGTGAAGAAAAATAATTCAAAGGAAAAGTTCAAGAAAACTGAAATTGATGCAATCCAAGGTGAAGACTCTGATAGGTATTCACAACCAAGTATCTTTCACGAAGGAAATGATATTAATATTATCATCAACAAATATTTGCAAAAAAACAGTTTTGTGGTTTCCCAACAAATTGATGGTCAACAAAATTCTTGGGAAAATAATAATATATTTGATAACAATAATTTGAGTAATGAGGATCTATTACTGTAAAATGATGAACAATTAAAATTTAGGTGTTATTGACTTACAGATCAACTGATTCTTTTTTTAAATGTTTTCAATTCAATTATTTCAAAAGTTAACGTAGTTAAAAATGCTTTTCATAAAAAAATGTAAAATACATTTTCATGTGAAAATGGCTGACTTTTACTAATCATTGATATATGTCTTGTCAAGGTGATGGTTTGTAGTGGACGGATTCCAACATTCCTAGCGAATAATACAGTGGGGAAAACGTTACCACGCAAAATAAGTATCGCGAAAAATCAATCCTATGAATAAAAACATGAATGTTTCAAAATGAAATCATGAAACATTCTTCTCTCTCAACACATCTACGCAATAAGTTATTTAAAAAATACAATTTTTTGTTTTTTCTTCAGTGTTGTTGGGTTTTGTATGTGTGAGTATAGATCTCAGTGTATTTTTTGTTTTGAAAGTAGTTCTAACATCATATCTATTTCCAATTTGTCTTATTTTTTCAGATAGTCTTGGAATGTAGTTAGTTGTAAAAAGTGTCGTTTGATGTTGAGTCGGTAATTGTTTAGTTGAATGTTGTTGAATTTGTGAAGCTGTTTGTATGTTCGTTTGGTTTTTAATTGACTCTTTATTTTCTATTGAATTTCATATTTCAAAACTTATTTGACATCTGTCGAAGAAGAAATGAGCTCTCAAAAAAGGAATAACTGCGTATATGTTCGAACTTTTATCCATTTCTGAAGACGGAGGCAGATTTTGGCCTCACTAGGAAAATAAAGCAATGTCGTGTCATCCGCGTATAACTTAATATTTCCTTTCAACAATAATTTTGAAACAGAATTTATGTAAATCAAAAATAAAACTGGACCCAAAGTAGACCCTTGTGGAACATCACAGGTGATAGTTTTCAATGAACTGGCATTTTTCCCTAGACACACAAACTGTTTTCTGTTAGATAAATAATTTTCAAACCATCTATGAATATTTCCTCGAATACCAATACTATTCAATTTTTTTAATAAAATATGATTGACTGTGTCAAATGCCTTTCGCAAATCGAGAGATAATAGACCACATTTCATATCTTTATCTAATTGTTGAATATTAGAATTGACATCCATTACTGCAGACTCAGTATCACCCGATCTGCGAAAGCCATATTGACCTGAATATAAATAATGTTTCGACTCTAAATAATCTATCAACCTATTATTCATGACCTTTTCGATAATTTTTGAAAATACAGGGAGAACCGAAATGGGCCTATAATTATTCATATCACTTTTGCTACCGGATTTGAATATAGGAGAAACACATGCAATTTTACAGTATAAAACCTTCGTCTAAGGAAGATGTTTGTTAACTAGTAACAACTTTATCTTGTGAACAAAGTATGATACCTTCGGAAAATGTGAGATAACTAGTAAGAGCTTCATCTCGTGAATGAATCCCCAATAGCAGGCAAGAACATCTCATGTATTAACACTCTAAAACAGATATTAGTAGTATTAGCCAGGGAAGTAATTGTTTTTCGGTAGGCTTCCACCAGACTCATTACGATTCATAATGAAAAGGGTAAATTATGCTAAATTACATCTGAGTATTATACCTATTCATTTTCACAGAAAAATATGCATGTTATTTTAGAACACGTACATTTTTTTCGTTATGAAGGAATTGTACTCCTGTGAACAAACATTCTCCCATAATTCAAAAGCCAGCGACGTCAGAAGATTTCGTAACATAAATATTTTGAATTGAATTTGAAACATTCACCTTTCCCAGCGTTCCTAAATAGTAGGATGTGTCAAATGCTTGTCGGAAAACTGCTTCCATAGCGAATACCACGTGTGTAACCAAATTCTGTACTCAAATTCCAATACTCCGCCTATGGCCAAGGGAATTAGGAAAGAAAAAGTGGTGTTATCGATTGAATATCAGAACAACCGAATAGTGTGACGTTTCTGAATGTACTGACATCATCGACTCGACATGTGATTTATTATATCAAAAATTACACATCATCTTCTTTCAAACAGTTCCACTGAGAACAGTAAAAACACGTAAATTTCCCCCATGGTTCGACGACGATGTTATAAGCCATATAAAAAAAAATTGCATATAAAAACTATAAGAAATATAAAACAGGATTTTATTAAAATCAATTCTCGGATCTGAGAAAAACTGTCAAAACTAAAATAAAAGCAGCATATAGTCAATTTACAAACTTAGGTGAAAATAATATTTTATCTGACAGCTCGACTTTCTGATTTTTCATAGACAGTAAAAAAGGTCATTCGCGTATACCGGGTATAATGAAACTTGATGATTAGTTATTTGATAAGCCTGGGGATATTGTCAATGGATTCGCCAAGTACTTCAGAAGTGTATACTTGGTTTCGGACGAGAGTATGCTTCGTGAAATGCCTTGACACGTGTTTCGATCATCAAGTGATCATCTTCAAGAGGAAGATTAACATCCCTGCCTTCTCTAAAATCGATATTATTACTGCTTCAAAAAAATTAAGAAGTAAACTCACTGCAGGCGTTGACAATGTTCCTAGTCTTATGATAAAGGACTGTATCCTGAGCAGTGGAAAATGGCTCGAATTTGTCCGATATTAACATTAACATCGAATATTAGCTTCTCTATCATCTTCACCGACAAAATAAATTTCCAGAAACCGTGCATGCTGCCCAGGTTACGGTAATATACTTCCAATTGAATGATAGACTTGTCCTTGAACTTTAAAAGTTTTTTTCCACCACAGGAAGTCATTTAAAAACAGGTATTATATTTTCGGATATTATCCATGAAGTGTACATGATTTGGGTGTAAATCATTAACCAGACTGTAAAGTGGTTCAGGCAATTGTTTAAACGGCTCAAGTTGTACTTTACCGGCGCTACAACACATGCCAGGTGTCTCATCTTTCCACTTCAAGACGTTACACCACTGACACTTGTACGTCATAGAACCTAAGATTACACTGCTGTCAGTTCCATAAGCAATATCTGGGTCATACGTCAAACCCGAAAGCAACTTGCTTCTCCATATACGCTGAATTGTATTTTCTCTATACCGTGGCTGAATCAGTCTATGCACATCAGTATTCCTGGCCTGATATAGTGCAGCAGATTGCCTATGTTTTTCGGGGTTTGCAGCCTGGTAGGTGGCCACATATTGCCTCTGTACATCAGAGTTTTTTTCTTATATTCAGACACAGCTTTACGGTGGGATTCAGATAGAGTCTGTCCATATTTTTTTGTACCTTTTTCATTTGAGTTTTTCGTGTGTAATTAGTAAACTTTGCCCTACGTTTGTTTTTTTTTCTATTAATGTCACAGACTCAGATTGGGACAATAAACTTCTTATTAAATTTTCATCATGATTTATTGAAGATACAGTAGGTGAATGTTCACGCTTTAAAACAGGTACCTCCTGACAACCCTTATCAACTTTAAGTTGCGAAGGTGTATCGATTCCAAAATCATGTTCTTCTACAGCTACCACCATACGAGGCCGAGTAATTTTCTATGCTGCTATGGGAAGATAGGCATCAAAATGCCCAATAAACAAATAATCTTTTGTTAAATCGTAATCGCCTTACCGGATAGTAGTAAGATCCAGATTCCGTATACATGAGACCGTTTCTATAAACCTCAAACTTGAATAGGAATATTAATCCTGCTGCTATTAACTCACAAAATCCGCCATAAGTAGCATTTTTCATCATATCAGCAAAATATTCGTTAGGTGTTACGTAGTTATCACCATTCCTGTCGTGGGTCATAATTGAAAACTTGCTCTGGAGAATGAGTTATTTCTCCTACTCAGCATGGTTTCATACAACAAAGATCATGTATAACAAATCTTGCATGTTTAAATCAATATATCTGTACGTACCTGGACAAGTAAAAACAAGCCGATGTTGTTTATTTAGACTTTCAAAAAGCCTTCGATCAAATAGACCATTATGTTCTTTTCAGCAAATTGACAAAATTGGGACACTCTAACCAACTGCTCACTCTAATTGAATCATATCTAGTTAACAGAAAACAATTCGTCGAATTTGAATCTTTCAAATTGTCAGAATTGTGGAAAAATAATGCATGGCTTTTGCATCACAATAATGCACGGCTTTTGCATCACAATAATGCACCTGCTCACTCGTTATTGCTTGTTCGTAATCTTTTGGCTAAAAAGAACACTGTAATCATGCCTCAGCCACCATATTCACCAGATTCCACCTCCTGCGACTTTTTTCTGAACACCAAATTGAAGAAATCCATGAAAGGACTGCATGTGCGACGATTGAGAAGATGAAATCCGAATCGTAAAGATAACTCAAGGAAATACCTCAAAGTGCATATCAGTGAGGAAAGTTCAGTTGTGCAGATTCTGATGTAGAAAAGAACATTTTACTGGCAGTATATTTATTCAAATGAAACTTGAAAAACGTTTTCGTAGTTTTGTGGAACTTCAGCGGATATGTTTCATAAAGATGCATGATTGTTGTTTGTTCATTTTCAGTCAGTTTTATTTTCAGATCTTTCATGCATTTGTTCAATTAGCATTGTTGCATTTTAAAGAGTTTGTTTTTCAATCAGTTTATGTGATATTGCAAATGATGGTTTTGGCTATTTTCTACAATACACATTAACTCTTTACCAGCGGCGGCTCGTCAGAGGAGGCAAGGGAGGCTTAGCCTCCCCATAAAATTTGAGTCCATTCATCGCAATAAACTGAAAGATATTGACAAATAATTATGATTATTTTTTCTAAAAATGCTTGGGTATCATTACTTTACCATTAATTTTTAATATAAATACATAATATGCCAGAAAAAACACTATCACTCACTACGTAGTACGTACCACACTGTATCCTGCATCAACAAAACTCAAACGCACAGCCCATGAACGAATAACGAATAAACTATCAACCCGAAATAATAAATGTCATACGTTGCAAGGGAGCCAAGCCTCCGACCGCTTTAAAAAACACAGGCTCCACGAGACCGATCCAACCAGCGACATAGTCCCGATTTGTAATT